CTCTGGAGGTTCTGGGGCCTCTGGTGACCTATCAGGTTCTGTGGAGTCAGAGGACCTTGGTTCTGGAGTCTCTGGGCTTTCTGGTTCAGGCATAATATTGATCTCAGGTGGAGGTCAGTTCTCAGGACCTTGGTTTGCTTTATATGTGTTAAAATTGTACCTTTAGGGGTACAACAGCTTGTCAATGGGGTAGTAATCTTGTACCTTATCTACCTTTAAATGGCGCACATTAGATGTCCCTTTACAATTTTTGTACAATTTTTCTGATAGTATAGCTTGAGAGGATTCTTGATTACTTCAGCACAATATTTGTTTTTCTGTGGGTGAAGTGGAGTCCAATTTATGGTCTCTACCTGTTAGACCTTAGTGGGGAGGGATTTCCTGAGGGTTTTTAAGCAAGTAATCATGATCTGTAATTCACAACCATTTAACGGTTTTGTATTGGTTAAAATGTTGATCCAAAATGGGTAACTCGTAATCATTGCCAGCATTTCTGTCATGCTGTTATCTCTCATCTACTGTTGAGGAGGCTAATTTCTTTCTTGCCACCCCACCTTGTCTCTCACAAGAGGAGGAGCTCCACTTGACGCTTGAAACCATTCCACACGAGGCCTCTGGGGATTTTGGGGAGTCTGGAATCTCTTGGGTGTCTGGAGCTTCTGGGTTACCTGAGCTGTCAGGAGAGCCTTCAGCCTCTGGGGTTCTTGAGGTATCTGGAGAGCCTGTGGCTTCTGGGGTACTTGAGGTATCAGGAGAACCTGGGGCCTCTGGAGTACCTGAGCTGTCAGGAGAGTCTGGGGCCTCTGGGGTACCTGAGGTGTCAGGAGAACCTGGGGTCTCTGAGGTGTCAGGAGAACCTGGGGTCTCTGGGGTATCTGAGGTGTCAGGAGAATCTGGGGTTCCAGAGGTTTCAGGAGAGCCTGTGGCCTCTGGCGTACCTGAAATGTCAGGAGAGTCTGGGCTCTCTGGGGTGCCAGACGTATCAGGAGAGTCTGGGACCTCCGGGGTGCCTGAGGTGTCTGGAGAGTCTGGGATCTCTGGAGTGAATGAGGTGTCTGGAGAGTCTGGGATCTCTGGGTTGAATGAGGTGTCTGGAGAGCCTGTGATCTCTGTGCTGCCTGAGTTCCCTGGAAAGCCTGGAAACTTTGATTTGTTTGGAGAGTCTGGGGTCCCTGAGGAGACTAAACAGCCTGAGGTCACTTTCGAGTCAGGAGAGTCTGGGAGCCCAGAAGAGTCTGGGGTGACTGAGGCCCCAGACGTCACCACTGAAATATTAATACCTGACTTAGATGAAGGTCAGTACCTATCAATACCATGCATTTCTATGACTCAGATTTATGACAGAAATCTGGTAGTGTTGGTTACAACTTACTGGAGTCTTTTTTTACTCTTTTTCTTTTGAAAAATGGCTTAGAAGAATAGTTAAGACAAGCTTAGCAAGAGTTACGAACACTATTGAATTTATTGTTGCACCCATCAATTCTAAGCTCTAAGCATTTTATACCAATCCTCTGATATTATTACCTGTGTGAAACCCATATATTTCATTTAACTGGCTGACCATGGTTAAATGTGTATTCATTTGCTTTGGTGTACATTATAACAATAATAATCATTATAACTTCTCAGTGTCAGTATTACTCACTGCCTGTCCTGTTCCATTGTTCATATGTCCATGTGCTAATCTGTCTCCTAACACCTTCATGTTGTTGTGTTTAACAAGAGGAGGAGATACTCCTAACTACCCCGACCACTCCCTTGGAGGGGACTGGGGGTGATATAGGGTCAGGGGTACCTGATATTGACAAAGATATTGACACAGATACAACAGGTCAGTATTTAAGGCGATTAAGATGATTCCATGATATGTATCCTCAGTGGTTTTAAGACCTGTTCAGTGTGTTATCTAATTAAGTTATGTTGCTACCATAGATACCTACATATCACTATGAAGTTCTGTTCTGCAATATTCTGCAGGGGTGTCCAATCCTGCTCCTAGAAGGCCACAAATTCCTGCAGAATTAAGCTCAAACACAACTGCCTGGATATTTTTTCGTCCTCCTGAGGACCTTGATCAGTTCAGGTGTGTTTAGTTGGATAATGGAGCTAAAGTCTGCACTAAAGTGGCCCTCCAGGAGAAGGACTAGACACCTTTGCCGTACTGTATGCAGCAGCACATGTTCATGTGACTTTTGTAGTCTCTTAACAATATGATACAAAAGTGCAAAAACTGTTTGCCTCATGTCTCCAAATAAGTGGCCGCTGGCATATGCATCAGTACAGTTTCTGTGTTTTAATGTGTATTTGTGTTTGTCTTCTGAATGCCACCTGTTAATTTGGTGGTAAGGTATGGCCACCTGTATGCTCTGCACCTGCCTGGTTGGATCTGTGTACTGTGATGACCTTAAGTTGGACCGTGTTCCTCCCCTCTCCAAAGAAACCACTCATTTCTATGCCCGCTACAACAAAATTGCTAAGATCAGCAAGTCTGACTTCGCCAACCTGAGTATGTGTTTAATCAAAGGGACAGTCAACGTTTTAATCATGTCACAGTTAAATTCAAGTCAGTATGAATTCAAAATTGATGAAAAAAATTATCAAATCAAGCACTGCCCTACATTTTTTTTCTAGCTGAATATCTGGTTTCATTCAGAAATAAATCACATTATTGATGTTATGTTGTAATGTTGAAAATGGGTTGCAATTCCTGTTGACTTGAAGCCTAGATTTCATATAGACAGCAGGTTGTCTAATAACATTAATTACCAGATCTGTTGGCTTAATTGATATTTGATAGCTTTAGCTTGATGAAAAATATGAATTAGATTTTTTCATGAACTTCACTGAATGGTCTTTTTGTCTTTTACTGTCATAAAGATAAATTAAAGAGGATCGATCTGACTAGCAATGGCATTTCCAGGATTGATGATGATGCTTTCTTTGGCCTTCCTGCTCTGGGGGAGTTGATATTACGAGAGAATAGTATTAGACAACTTCCTGCTCTGCCACCCTCTATGGCCCTTATTGATGCCTCTCACAACCAGCTGGGCAGCACTGGCATTCAGAGAGAAGCTTTCAAGGTAGGAAAAGCAGTAAGAATAAAAACTGTGGAGTTTAATAACAAAGCATTAGCCTACCTTTGGCCCATTCTTTTCTGAGCTTTCTTTGCATAGTCTTCATTGATCCTGTGATAGCCTACTGTTGTGCAAGCAGACCAAAGAGAACAACTTACAGTTCATTTAAATTAGAGAAAAACCAGAGAGCAGAAAACCATCCACTTTCTATGGGAAATTGCTGCTATTAATCATAAGTAGATGTGTTGTGTATACCTTAGATAATTTTGTTTGGCAGGATTGTCATCAGCTCATGATTTCTGTTTCCAGGACATGCCAGGGCTACTTTACCTTTACTTGACAGACAACAACATAGACCACATCCCAGTTCCTTTGCCTGACAGTCTGCGCTCTCTGCACCTACAGGTACCTGTACTCCCACCTCACTAGTGCCACCTTTTGGACATTTATGCTACTTGCCACCTAACTGAAACGTTAATAGATTTTCATTTAAAGGAGCTAGTTTACATTTAAAAGTCTTTCTGGTGGTCTGCATAGTGCTCTTTAATGAACACTGACATCTTTGCTGAAGTAAAATTAAGTATCTCACAAATTTAAACAAAGGAATTATTTAACATGAACATGTGTGTAGCTAGATGCTACATTGAAAACATTCTCCGTTTTGTCATTCAGAATAACAATATCCAAATGATGCACGAGGACACCTTCTGCAATCCGCATGACTTGAATTACATCCGCAACGCTCTTGAGGATGTTCGCCTGGACGGTAATCCCATCAACCTCAGCAGAACCCCAGAGGCCTACATATGTTTGCCACGTATCCCTGTTGGTGCCCTTATTTAAGCTGGAAAAACGCACACTCAAATGCACGCGTACAAAACTCACACGTATGCACATGCATCAAAACTCCTCTGTACGTACCTCTCTCTCTCTCTCTTTTTTTTTTTTTTTTTACTTTGGGCTCAAGCAAACACTTGGATATGAATGGCTGTCTGTAAAGGAGGTTGGCATAAATACATAAACTCACACTCTCACAGGACTTCTGGTGGACACTTCCAACTCTACGCTGCTTGTGTTTCTACCTTTTGACCCAGTACATACTTTTCATAATGTAGGAGGTTTGTAATCATATCTGGATTTATGACGTCTCAAACACAGATACGTGTCTAGCCTCATAAACAATCTCATTTAGAGAAACAGAACAATGGATAACTCTGAACATTTTTTATTTATCAAATACTAATGAACCTTTGAGGAAAACAAGATGTCATTAATTTACAAGTGCAAATATGAACAAAACTGCACAAAAACCCTCTTTTGTGTGCTGTACTGGTTGCCTGTCTGGGGTTAGCTGCAAAAGCCAGCCCAAATTGTTTAAATATGTTTGTTTTGTAAATGAAATATTGTTAATATTCATATGGAATTTAACAAATGTTTATCATAATTAACAAACTAATTGAAGCTGGTGCTCAATTAGCTTTTTGAAAGGTAAATTTGACTAATGCAATAAAAGAAGCATTCTAACAATGAATTTGTTGTAAAGTCTGTACTGTAATATAAATATATAAGCTGTTTTTTTGTTTTTTTTGACAAGAACTGCAATATTTTGGTATATCACAATTCAAGCTGTTGTTATGACCAATGGCCTTCAAAACGAACATTTCAGAATTGTTGTATTGGCTGAGGGATTTGAGAATGATTGGGGGGAATGGGGGTTAAATATTAGCTCAGCATTGTGTGTTTTGTATGGAAATAATCACACCTGAATAAAGTTTTCTGATGACCTCTCCAAAACAGAGGTGGCTTAACGTTTTCATTGTTCACTTGTAAAGTCTTCAAAGGCATGAAAGCAACACTTATTGCTCACTTAAACAAGCATAGCTATTAACATTACAAAACCAATCACTGTAACACAGCACAATCCACTTCTGGCAACAGAAAACAGTTTTACTTCAAACAGAAGGTGTACAAAAAAATGACATATACATAATGGGTCCCATTCAGAACAGTTAGTTCCATTTTAGAAGTTCTCGATGAGCTTTTCAAACAGGTTGAGGAATTTCTGCCTCCTCTCTAAGGAAGCTGGTTCCATCACTAAGGGAATCGAGGTATCAGTTCCTTCTGTACTATCGTTCAGATTAGCTGTCTGCTTCCCTTTTTCCGTCCCACGCTGCTGCTGTAGAATGGCTCGCTCTCGTTCAAGCTTTGCCCTTTCTCTGTCAAGAATCGCTCTTTCCTTTTCCAGCTGAGCTCGGATGTACTCCACAGAGGCCCTGTCTCTCTCCACAGCGGCCTTGTCTCTCTCCAGAGAGGCCCTGTCTCGGTCCAATGCTGCGATTTCTCGTTCTACTCCTGCTCTTTCTCGATCTAAAACCATCTTCTCCCGCTCCAGGACCATCCTCTCGTATTCAATAGCGGCTTTGTCGCTCTCTAGGATGGCCCTTTCGTGCTCCATCTCATCCCTGTCTCTGTCAAGCTCTACCCTGTCTCGCCCCATTTCTTCAGACATCATGTCATCCTCTTCGACGAACAGCTCGACCTCGCTTCTGTCCAGATCACGCGCTCTCTTGCTTCTCCGGCGTGTGGTGTTGTTCGGGCGATACTCGCTGTCATCGCCCAGAGTAGAAGTGTCTAGAGTGACTTCACTTCCTGCGAGTCTACCCTCCATGGCGTCGTCCATAAGGGAGAACCACGGCCAGTTAGTGGGATTCACCGAGACGCCAGGTGGGGGATTCTTCATTTCCTGATACACGCAAGATACACAGACACAAACAGTTTACGAGTGGTTAGCAAGCAGAGTGCAAGATCCTGCAGATTAGGTTTGTGTAACGACACAGTATGATGTTCATAATTATGTAATGTAAATAATCATAATATTAATATATAATGGCATTTAATGAAGGTCAGATGTTTATATTCATTCAATTAAATGGCATTTAGTTAATTTGCGTAATTAAAGTAATGTGTATGTATATAATGCATTCTTGCACCATACTTTTTAAATAAATTATATGTATCTTTTTATATATTTTTTATTATATTTTATATAATTTTTTCATATATTTTAATTTTTTATATTTTAATTATATATACATTATTACATTCTGATGTGTAATATTAAAATGTAATGTAGTTAATTGTGTGTCATTTTAAATAATGATGTTTATGCATATAATACATTCATGAAAATATGACATTTAAAATGTAACATATATATACACACTACATACACTACTATATATCATTTGTCAACCTTAAATTTAATTAGTCATTTGTAAGTATATAATACACATTACTTGGAATATATATATATATATATATATATATATATATATATATATATATATATATATTATGAAATGTATATTAAATAATACATATTAGTATTAATATCTATTATTACAGAAATTAGAACTACTGAACACTCATAACATGCCATTAGCATACCTTATACTTCATCTTAAGGTTTTCCCATTTCCGCCTGGCCTGGCTGGCAGAAATTTCCCTTTGCAAACCCAACTCTTTCAAGATGGCCCTATGGCACAAAGATATGCAGACTTTACACACTAACTGCTGCAGGTTGTTGGCATAAACATCTACTGTATACTTCGTTATTGGTGCAAAGACTTGAATGTGTGAGTATGCATGTGTAACTGTCTGTGAAATGGTTTACCTATAAGCCAGAGTTGAAGAATTTCTCTTTCCAGTGAAAAGTGAGTCGTTGGTCACACGCAACTTCACGAATCTAACAAATTCTTCATTTGACACTTGAAGCGCACACACAGAAACACACATGCAGATGTTAATAAGGGTAGGACACGTGATTTGTATAATGCATGAATCCCATTTACGTGGCCAGCTCAATGCTAAACTGCTCAAATGGGACAGTTAATTAAATGCATTGGGACATTAAATGCATAAAGTTAATTGCTACTCACTTTTATAAATGAATTCTGCATGATCTGGGCCATCCTTAATGTCCTCCGAGGGACTCTGTACAGTGTACAGTTCGTGGTCCATACTTGCATCTGTTGTCTTTGAGTCATCAAGTGCGCTACTCATGGCGCTAGTGCACAAGCGAAGGACACTAGAAGAGAAAATGGAGGGTTTACGTTCATTTCTTCTGCCATTGATTCATGGCGGTTCGAGTGCACATACCGCCACCTACTGGACTGCTGTATATCACAATGTAAAAAAAAAAAAGTCAGGGAAAAGTAGTGTATAAAGATTGTCTTAAACATGATGTATGTTAGCGTAAATCTTTAAAAATGTGTAATTGATACAGAAACATACACATTTGTTTCACATCGTACCGCATTATTTGAAATAAAAAAAACGTTATTATTAAAGCCTGTATAATCCAACGAAAGCGTTCGTATTCTACCTCTCAGGATGTGCTTCTTTACAAACAATTAAATGACTTTCAAAATCGTTTCTTCGTAAAACTGTAGTTTTGCAGTAGGGGCAATGATAATGTAGTGATGGTCGACAGTCAAATCCACATCTGTGAATGGAGAAACCTACAGCATGAAAAATGGTATAGTTATGAAAATATTGCGTAACAAAGCCTGTATATTTCTATATTCAAAACAACACACTGTAGATGTACGCACCCTCGTAGAAAACGGCCCTGTTAAAATGTCTGGTCATGTGCAGTTTTAATTTGACATTTCTGGTAGACTTAAATACACTCTCAGAGCAAAAGGGGCAGTGGAAACCGCTGCAGCACGTCGTGCATTGATGTAAGGGGGGCAGTGAGTGGCCTTTCTGAATCGTTATGTGTGTCTAAAAGAAAAATAAGACTACAAATTAATACTCCAGGAACTTTGATTTCTAGTATTTTACTCTATACCAGTAATACCAGAGAACAACAGAGGAAATCTGGGTGCCCCGTGTAAACATGTGTCTATAAATTAAGCCATAAACACAACCATTCCATAACTAGGAACGTGAAAAGCATCCCGTTCTGTGTCAGCTGTCGTGGTCTCAAACCATATGTCTACTCGATGAGCAGCTTAGTGTCGAGATCAGATGTTGCACGTATGTCTCATATAAAGCACAATTAGAATCGACTAAAAGAAGCATTATAAGCTCGATACTCACTAAGATAAGACCAGGTGTGCTCTCTTTCATTTTTACATTGTCACTTGTCATGTTTACAAACTCGAGTCCCGAAACTGTTGGCCTAGATCGGCTGGACTGAAACTGCTGGCGGTGCTGTAGCCTACTGTAAATGGAGGTGCAGTAATGCAAATACGCCCTTCGATACAGACAAGTCACTTTGCTTAGTAAAAAAATGTCTTTGTATTCATAGTCAAAAGAACAACACACCTCACACATATGGGTGAAGAAAAGATGGATGCATACAAAGTTTAATTTGACAAATAAATGTATTTATTTTTCATAAATCTCTCCAATACAAAGATGGCAGCAGAGAGATTCAAGAGGCAGGTTCATTCTTCCGTGGTCTGGGAGAACCGACATTTTGGAGCGGTCAAAAAGGCACTTAGTGAGCTAAATAAACTTAATTTGTTTGGGAAACAAATTCGTTGAATAATTACATGTTTGGGTAATGTTCTTCTAGATGTTTCCCACAACGCATTTTGTAGACAACTTTAGTTTGAGTTTACTACAAAAAGATGGATTTTTGTTTTTATCTCCCCTTTTTATTGCAGAAATATAATGCAATACAAAAGAAACAAATAATACCGAACATAGAACATATGGGGGAATACAGAGAAGATATATATATATATACAAATTATAATTTACTTAAAAACGTTCTATAATAAGAGATGTCTTCAGGCAGACTTTATTAGTGGAGACTTTTTGAAGTGATGACAATAATAAATGTAGGTCAGAAGCAAATATTTTGCAGCTGGGTTTAAATTGAAGGTATCTTTGTGGATATGATATTTACCCATCATACAATAACGTTTTAGACATCATATAACTCCTTATTGTCAGAAATATCAGAATGGAAAACCTTACTGATGGAAATAGCCTACCACAGAGCTGGTGGAACACAAGAAACAGGGAAGCTGATATTTGAAGCCAGAATTGTTTACAATAATAACAGAAATAGAATAAATGTGAAATTGATTCTTCTTCCTCTTGGCAGAAAGCGCAGAGTGGAGAAATATTATGGTTAAATTAACTATCTCCCTAAAGTTACTGACTTAGCTGAACAAATCAGACTGGCTAACCTAATGTGAATTATGAACACAGAACAAATTATCTGATACAAGGTTATCTCAGTTTTAAATGTTAAGGGCATAAGGTCTTTTTAGAGATGCTGCAAAAGGTCAAACGGCCTAACATGTCCGACTAGCACATGTTTACATAGAAAAACAATGGAAAAGCAGCGTGGTGAAATACAAAATTGTGTTCTGTGTTAACAGCCCCTTAAGTGTGTCAGGCTGTGCTTTATTACCATCAGTTTAATTTACAAATGGTTTACTAATGTCATTGTGGAGTTTTATATCATCTGCAATATGCAGAATTGTTAATGTCAAACCAAATCATTTTAATCTGTAAATAAACTATTCGTGACTGACTAGCCGATATTGACCTTTTCAATGTGGTGGACTCACGGATGTTAAATTGAAATGTATAGATACAACTATTCAGTCATCTAGACCTATTAACATGTAAAATGGTGCTGGTTTGTTTGTACTTTTTTGTAAGTTTGTTTCTAAAGTTCCCGATGGCTTTTCTTCACGTTTAATTATGTTGCAATGTTTTGCTAAAAAAGGGACCAGCAGTTGCTAACGGGGCACAGTGTGTTTATTTCTATGGTCGCAACAACGCCGAATAAGAAGAGGTGAACGCTGATTCGCTGGAAGCGGAAAACGTCACTTCCGCAAGTTCCTTCAGGACGTGAGACGCACGTTCGTTAGCCACGTTTGTCTTTCGGTCGTCGAAGAGTAAGCAGCCGAAACGCGCGTCTCTTGTGGAAGTGTTTTTAAGGGCTTAAAAAGCTTTCTCTGTTCTATTTTAACCACTAGGTGATCATTTTATAAGTCTTTTACTTTTGGACAAACAAAGACTATTTTTTTTCTTCTTGGTAATGTGTCTTGAAATCACGACAATGAAAGGAAACTACCAGAAGGACATCAAGACCGCGCCCGTTCACAAGAAAAAGTGGTCAAAACCAAAGAAGAGGACATTTCTGCGCACAAATATGGGCGAAAGGAGGCGAAGGGTCCGTGTCTGGTCGGCCGCGAGACCGCAGCGGAGTCCGGACCGTGTCGACAGTACAGCTACGGGGAGTCAAAGTTACCTCACAGTAACCATGGCACCAAGAAACACAACGCAATATTTAATGGACCTGGTGTACGCTGAGCGATTAGACGTTTCAATGGAGCCGTGTGACGAAAGCCACGATTTCTCAATGCAGAGTGGTGTCCCGTTTGATGCGAGCGTTTTCTCCGTGTCGGACTCCGATTACGACAGATCTTTGGACTTCCAACAGAGAGACTTCGAGAACGCGTTCTTCAGGAATGAAATCTGACGTGTTTCCGAAACCTGACTCGCTTTCGTCGGAACGAGACGACCGGGCAGCTGTGAAACCATAGACAGTAACATGTGCGTGAAAATGCCAGCGCTTTTATTGGTAGCTCTGTAAATATGTGTACTCGTATAAAACAATGTTTTATGAAAGCCCAGGCGTTCGACACGATTCTTTTTGAGTTGCATGTTACGAGTTGAATGTGGTTTCATTTGTCGGCTCTCCTTGTTCTCACAGCATTGCGCAGACTCCAACTCGGGAGGCGGAACGCTCTGCGTCACAGCTGCGTGATGACGTGTACGCCACGCCCCCAGTACGGCCACCATCACGTGGCCAGCAGGTAAACCCGCTCCACCCGTTGTGTACGCGGTGTAAGAGCGTTGCAGTAACGTGCTGTCGCAGTGTAATTGCTGAGAAGTGTGCATGCATTGTTCTGCCAACGGATGCATGTGTGTTTTCAGAGACTTTTACAGGTTGCTGATCCTCCTCGGTGGATCTCAGCTGTCTGTGCAACCCACCCAGAGCCTTGGGACAAAGCCGTCACTGCTGGGTAACCGTACACGCTGTGGTAAATGCTTGAATGTAAATCTACACAAGTGCACTCAGAGCTACAACACACGTGTGATGATATACTTTGAGAGCTTTTGTAAATATTGATTGTATTAACCATTAAAATGTGTTCGTTCTTAAAACTTACATCTGACTTATGTTCTTTTGTTTTGTTTTTTAAACATTGTGTACACTGCATTCCAATACATGATTATGTAACAGTATCAACTTAATACTTGCAAATATACTACAGCCTACATAAGCTTTGGTTTTCATGGAAGATTAAGTTTTATAATGCAAGCACAAGAAATGACCTCCTTCCAGTGTTCATGGACCTAGAACTGGTTTTCAGCCAGGGTACTGCAAGATGACTAATAATAAAATGACAAGGATATAGAATGTGCTGTCTTTATTTCTATTATATTGTTCTGTCAGTCGTTGTTTGTGTACTGTATTTCTGGAGTCACAATTAGTTTGTAAGTTTTAAATGAGAAGTTTTATAGAAGTACCATAATTATTGTTTGCTGTCTGGGGGGTGTTTGAATACTGCATGACGTTCAAAGCTTCAAAAGTCATCAATCACGTGCTATTGTCATTTCGATAGAAGCGTCGGTACAGTATGCGATACAATAGTGCTGTGGTAACTGCATCGGAGCCCCGGTATTAACTGTCCCATCACTAAAAATAAGGGATTTATGTTTTGGAAAATCAAGAAATGTGTGACGTATCGAGTCAGCATGGGCTGAAATAGCACTGTTTCAAGCGTCTTATTAGATCCATACAAGCTACTCTAGAATTATTTTTCCTGATAAATATACACTATTGGACAGAGCAATATGTGGGTTTTAAATAGGCGCACAAAGCTCCTCATCAAATAAAATGTAAACAAGCTGCGGATCAGCACTTCTGCTAATTGACTCTCTTGACATATGATTGTTTTGAGCACAGGAACACCTTGTTCCGTTCCTCACCCCACGGTTCTGTTTTTGGCACAGGGCGGTTTAAAAAAAACCATGTGACAAACAGGTGCAATGTCCTAACTGGCTTTCACCACCAGGTGGCCCTAAATTGCCACAGTAGAGTAAGGCCCAGCAGGGCAGTCTTTTGTAAGCAGTTACTATAGGAAGGCTGAGAAGAGCAATGTGTTGATAATCCTAGTGCCACATTTAGATTACAGTGCATGGCATCTGTTTTTGAGGGGCATGAAGCAATGGAGGAAAGCCGGGCAGGACAAACCTCTCAAATTACTTAGACGATGAAGACACACACTTCTTTGTCAATGGAAGGAATGAAGGAACACATACAAGTCAATGTCTGTCTCTAAATTTTTACATGCTTCTCAACTCACTCTGGTCTTTAATAAATTAAACTTTAAGTTTCAATCTTTTATTTTTTTTTACTGTTTATGGTGAATGTTTCTCCCACTCTTGTCAGTCCCTAGTGTCAGCTCAGTTGCCCTGTGGTCCATCTGCCAAAAGTAATGGATGAGACAAATCGTCCCTGGCCTACTGAGTGCTGTCAACGAGATAACAGCAGAATACAAGGCTTGTGCATTATGATTGATATGGAGCCCTCGAGGCAGGCCACACTGCCAGTCTATTGATTAGTCGCCAGCCTGGTC